CCATCCATCCATCCATCCAACCATCCACCCACCCATCCATCCATCCACCCACCCATCCAACCATCCATCCATCCATCCATCCATCCAGCCATCCATCCATCCAACCACCCATCCAACAATCCATCCATCCATCCATCCATCTATTTATCTATCTAACAACTATCTGAAACTTTGTTATAAAGAAGTTGGCTTACACAATTACAGAAGCTGAGAAGTCCCATAATCTACAGTCTGTGAGCTAAAACCCCAGGAAAGCTGGTAGTATAATTCCAGGCCGAGTCTGAAGGCGTGAGAACCTGGAGTGCCAATGGTGGAAGTCCCAGTCCAAGGGCAGGAGAAGACCTACATCTCAGCTCATGCAGTCAGGCAGAGAGAGAAAATTCAACCTCCCACTGCTTTTCAGTGTTATTCATGTTCCCAGCAGATTGGATGATGCCCACATTGGGGAGGGCAATCTCCTTCACTCAGTTCACCAATTCAAATGCTTATCTCTCCTAGAAACACCCTTATAGCTACACAGAAATAATGTTTAGTCCGTTTATCTGGATGTCCCATGGCCCAGGCAAGTTGACATGTAAAGTTCACCATCCTAGGGAAAAACTATTTGAAAGATGATGTAACCTGACAAAATTAAGTAATGTGCTGGCATAATAATGAGAAGAGGTAAATGGTAGCAATGTCAGCCTTATAGACGCTATAAGATAAAGAATTCAAAATTACTAACCATCATCACACATACTTCATGAGGAAGCAGAGGAGGGGCTGCCAACCAACGTCCAGAATGAAGCCAAGAAGGAACTTCAGAGGCTGGGACATCTCACTCTCTTGTTCCGAGACGAGGCTGGGAGCCCCAGGGAAGGGCGGAGTAGTATCCTGAGCATCCTGAAGGGAGGACAGAAGGAAGACCAAAGGGAGCAACTTCCAGATGTCCTTTCAGAGGAGGGGACCCTTTAGAAAAAAAAAAAGACTCATGAGAACAGTAAAAAGAAATAGTTTGCAACATTCTCCATCCTCTGTGTATTCATTTTCGTTTTAATGTTATTTTTTGGGGGATAACATATTTTCTCTTCAAACCATTCCAGGCATTGAAAGTACAAAAAGTTAGCATAGAAGATTCAGTTCATTTCTGCTGCTCAGGAGAAGAAGGTGAAGATGCCCATATCCCAAGTGGAATTTTGTGTTTTCCCTCTGGAAAGTCACCAGTGTATAACTCAGTAGGCTTCCACTCTGACTTCATATTAGAATAATCTTGATATTTTCTTTTTTTTTAAAAATTTTTTAAGGTCTTATTTATTTGAGAGAGAGAGAGAGCACGAGCAGGGGGAGGGGCAGAGGGAGAGAGGAGCAGGCTCCCAGCTGAGCAAGGAGCCCGATGCAGAACTTGATCCCAGGACCCTGAGATCACGGCCTGAGCCGGAGGCAGATGTTCAACCAACCGAGCCAAACCAGGTGCCCCTAATCTAGAGATTTTCTAAAATTAAATCGCAACTGGGAGGGGGTATGGGGCTGGACATTTTGATTGGGAAGCTCCCCAACTGACCTTGGTGTGGCCAGGACTAGCCCATTCCATTAGCACTTGGCTAATGTACAGTGTACTCCAGGCACATTTGGTGGATTAGGTAGACATTTTGGAGAAATGGAGACAGGTTCTACCATGACTCCTAGACTGGCCTGCAGAGTTCCCACGTGTACCCCTATACACACAACAGGAATGATATTCAAACGGCTTTATTTCACAGCACTGTGGTCAGGTTATTGTTTTCTTCCTAAATTGCTTTTATTCCAAACCTTCTGAAATCTAGAAAAGTTTATAGTTAAAAAAAATACAACAACAACAACTGTTTCTCTGTACCAGCTACTGACTTTTCTCTCTTATTTTGTATTTGGGTATTTTTTCCCCCCTGTCATGTATTCTATGTATACTGAAAGCATTTTCTCAAAAAACCCTTTCCTTCTGCCTTGTCTTTCTCCTTGACTCAGTGCCTACTGATTTGGTCTTTGAACCCCCAGCACTTTTGCCCCTTAAGTCTGTGGGGAAATGCTGCCTGCTCATGAGCCACACCCAAATCTGACTTAGCTTCTCCTCCTCGCAGCCATACTGCATTTGGAAAATGAGTGTCTTTTTTTTTTTTTTTAAAGATTTTATTTATTCATTTGAGACACAGAGATACAGAGAGAGAGAGCATGAGCAGGGAGAGAGGCAGAGGGAGAAGGAGAAGCAGGCTCCCTGCTGAGCCAGGAGCCCGATGTGGGCCTCGATCCCAGGACCCTGGAATCATGACCTGAGCCGAAGGCAGATGCTTAACCATCTGAGCCACCCAGGCGCCCCTGGAAAATGAGTGTCTTGATGAATTCACCTATGTTGGCCTTGCTGCCTAAACTGTAAGCCTGTAGAAGGAAATAACAGCTTGGATTGATTTCCCCAGTCTTGGACATATGGACAGGGCTGAAACATTTTAGTAGATGTAAATTATCAAAGGCAAGATTCTCTTCTTCAATGTAAAACTAAATTTCAATGCAATTTTCATGTCGTGCTTGCCTGTTCTTCCTTCTACCCCTGACCTTCAGAGGTGATGCACACACTGAGTGAAGTTACGAGGTGGAGAGACTTCTCAGGGCAGAGGTCTGCCAAGCCTTCAGCCCCTTGGCTCAGAACTTTCAACCTTCTGCAGGAGGAAATGTGCGAAAGTGGTCTGCTCCGCCCTCTAGTGGTCGCCAAGTTGCAGAACACCTTCAAAGACTAGGAGTTTTTACTATGTAAAAACTCTCCAGAATGGTATTGAAATTCCAGTTTGTATAATACTCTGTGTATTACATACACAACTATTATCTCAGCCTTCATTTGCTGCTTAAATAAGAGGCTTGCAGTCCTTTGGTTAAGGGTCTGTAGTCATACATGGGAGGATCTCTCTGGAAGGGAGTTTCAGATCAGAGTCCTTACCACTCTAAATGTTGGGGGTCCCAGCAGCATCCCACAGGCCCCTTCAAATGTTTTCTCCCTTCCATGTCCAGGTATTTTCCCATAAGGCACAGGAGCACCTGTGCAGATCAGGTCTGGTAAGGCTCCAGGTATTATAGTCCCTTAGGTTAAATACTCAAGCAAAAGTCTACAATAACAACCCAATGTGGTCCAGAACAGTTGACCTAGTATGTACCCCCAGGTGTTTTATCAAGCCTCACTGACTTAAAGAAAGTCACTTTGTTTCTGAGTTTTGTTGTTGTTGATAGTGGTGGTGGTGTGGTAATTTTTCATTTGTTTGCTGGTTTTTTAATTCAATCATGATGATAGAAACTGTGGCTGGGGTTTGGGGGAAGAAATCTAAAATATCACTGAAGCCAGCAGCTTTATGGAACCTACCACATAAAATGTCTTGATAAGGGGAAAGGACATTCTGATTCTGATCTGACCTTTCTCAGATAGGGGCTATGTAGAAGATGAGGAAAAATATGAGGAAGAACATAGCATCTGCAGAGAGAATATGCCCACAGCCTGCGAACAGTGCTGTCTTCTGTGGATGGTATTTTGTCTGCAAATTGCAAACATTTTCTCCAAATTGCAGGCACATTTTGAGTCCTGACGATGTGGTTCATGAAGCAATTTGTAGTCAGTTTCTTTCACAAAATGATGATGTTTAAGAACATCTTGCAATTAGGTCAAAGGAAAACAGTGTTTATTCTATGAGCTGAGAACAGGCTACAAGCCTGAGTTCTCATTAACCCAGTGGTTGATTCACTAATGCCAGGCGTCTGTTGTGAAGGAAAGCATGGAAGCAGTTCCGCAGGTAACATTTTGCAAGGCGCCCTCTTTATAACAGCTGTTTGCTTGGACAAATGGTGGTGGCAATGCACGCACACCCTAATGCCTTGAAACATTTGCCTTATGAAACCTTTACCACAAACTGGGTTCTTCTCACCTCAAATCCGATTGTGAGAAAATGGAGATTTTTTTCCCCTCAACAAATGTGTACAAGAGAGGTCCCTGGAAATAAGCAAGTGATCACAGATCAAAGTATTAGCCCATGCATTCTGAACAAACACAAACAGCAAGGCTCAAGAGAAAGAGCTCGGTTTTGTTTTCAGTGCTAGATCACAATCGGCTCCTTCAGAGCCCCAGAGAACCAGGGGCAGAACAGTCCTTGTTCCACATTATGCTTTCCTTTTGCAGAGTTAAGGCTTTGACTGAAATGCTAACTGTGGAAAAACAGATCTGCTTGGGAGCCTGTAGGTTTCCACTTTATTCCACTTAATGATAGTGATGAAATCCCCCTCTGGTAAAGCTCCACAATCCTGTGAAAAGTGTCGAAGAGATTAATTAATGAAAAAAGAGCGATTCATCTGGTACCTCAAAGTTGACAGATGGATAGAAAATTAACCTTAGTAACTTCAGTATTCCTGCCGCCCAAATTCCTCTGTCCATTCTTTTTTTTTTTTTAAAGATTTTATTTATTTATTTGA